TTATTCGGACTATTGTCCTCATCTTTGTCGCCATATTTATTACAATGCTTCGGCCTTTTAGTATCTGTCTATATTTTTGAGATGAGGTATTATGTACACTATTTATATTATTCGGACTATTGTCATCATCTTTATTTTTATATTTATCACAACATTTTGACTGTTGTCGCCCGGCCTTTCTTCAGGTGGTTGAATAACGAACTAAACCCTTTATTTAGCTCACTGGGTATAGCTGTTCTAGTTCATGTGTTATGTTTAATGGATGTCAGTTATCAGTTATCTCCGGTTAAGACAGTGGAGAACTTGGAGAGGGGAATTAACAGAAGATAACTGATAACTGACATCCATCAAACATGGCATGTGGAACTAGAACAGTTTACCCCAATGAGCAAAATAGAGGGTTCAGTTCGATATTCCAATCACTTGAAGAAGGCTGGAGTGTACAACGGCCAAAACGTTGTGATAAATATGGCGACAAAGATGAGGACAATAATAGTCCGAATAATGTAAATAATGATTCTGAGAAAATTTGAAGTCCTACCAGGATTCATTATCAGTAGTTACAATCTTAAAAACATGATATGCAGATGACACTGTTGATAGCAGACAAAAAAAGGAAAATACAGGAACTTCTACAGCACGTAGTGAAAGAAAGCAAGAAGAAAGGACTAAACACCAATTGCAAGAACACAGAATAGATGGTTGCTAACAAAGGAAACAGACCAACATACAAATTACAAATTGCAGATACCAAAATCAAGCAAGTACCTAAATTTAAATATCCAGAAAATGTTTTAACAGAGGATGAAAAATGTAACACTGAAGTCTGAAGAGGCACTGGGATAGTGAAAGATACTTTACAAAGCTAAGCAAAGTATTAAGAAATAGAAAAATTGCATTAGAAACAAAGAAAATAGTGCTAGACTATTATATAATATTGGTCCTCCTATATAGCAGTGAATACTGGACAATCTATTCACAGTTGAAGAAGAGACTTGAATTAACAGGAATTTAGTTTTACAGAAGAATGCTGAGATACCATGGACTGAACATGTGAACAATGACAAAGTTTCAGAGAAAATAGAGGATACTTATACTTAATATTAGAAAGTGTTGAAAGGGCACATAATGAGAAAAGAAGGCTTGGATGTTTTGATACTCATAGGATTGGTTGAAGTTAAGTGTAACAGAGAGAAGCAACAGATAAGCAACCTAGCAAAATTATATAAATGGATCACAGAACAAAGACTGAAGGGTGTTTTAAGAGGAAAAAACTGAAAGAAAAGCAGTAAAAGTTATGGTCTATTTAGCTGTCTAGGAAATTCATATAAATATTTAAATATTGGGACTGTTGTCTTTTTTCATCTGTGTTTTATGATGTACCAAAGAGAGAACCAAAGAAAGTTCTGCTAACACAAGGTTGATTTAAGAAGAATACTAGACTTATAAAACAAAAATTTATAATTGCATTTCAAGTAGAACGATCAAACAGCACATGAAAATGAATTTCATAGTTCACAGATGAAGAAAGACTTGAAGCAACATTGAACATGTGAACAATGACTATGTTTTAGGGTAAATAAAGAAAATGACACTTATAATTTGAATAAGAAGGAGAGAGAGACATGGGACAGTGGATAAAGGCGTTAGGTTAGATCCAGTGACAGGACCCAAAGAGTGTCCAATACCACATAAGGCAGTGGAGAACTTTCAGAGGGAAATTAACAGGAAATAACTGAAACCTGACATTCATAAAACATGGCACGTGGAACTGGAAATTGTCTACCTAGTGAGCAAAAAGGTTAGTTCGACATTTAACCAATTGAAGAAGGGAGCGCATAACAGCTGGAAACGTTGTAAATATATGACAAGATGAGGACAATAAATAAATTTGATTGGTATGTAATCTTACAAGCCGTGTATACATATACATTTGCAGCCTTTTGTGTGAAGATAAATAAATTGACATTCAGCTTTAAAAATCAAGCTTTTTAAAACAAATGCTTTCTTATTAATTTCTAATCTGGCTTTTTTGCTATATTTAATAAAGTCCTCGGTCAGCTGTCAAGAAGGTTGGTTCATTGTATCATTGCTAAACGGTTTTTCTCTGCAAAGTGTATCTTACATATCTATAAGTCTGCCATACGTCCATGTTTAGATGTACCTTCTCTCTATCTATAGCACCTTTTATAAAATCCAAAAAATCAGCAATATTACTGGTAACGATCCGGCGTCTCAGTTTCAGAGACTTGCCCACCGCCATAAGGCCGCCTCCTGTGCCTTTTTTTCTATAAATACTTTCATAGTAATTGTTCGATGAGCTCTTCGCTATGGTGCATAGACTCTTCGAATTTAAGCGCAGTAATTAGAAGGCGATGTGGTTCGCAGATATAATGAATTCAACAGATTTAGAAACTCTGCTCAATGAACAATTCCGAATCATTCTTCATAACACCACCCGCACATCCAAGCTTATAGCACCTGGTATTCCCAAGTTTACCCAACTAAGAACTAAGCAGAGAGAGTCATAAAATAAATGGCTATAAAGAATTGTTGATCACCATAAAGAATATGAAGCTGAAGAAAGCTGTATGGCACATGTACCAGATGGTGAGCTCTCTGTCTCCAAGACCATCTACAAGGAACGGTACAAGGAACAAAGAGATGACACCAAAGAAGGTCGGATAACAGAATCAGATCGACCGGCAAAAGTTATCCACATCCGGACACTCTGCTAACGACCAAATAAAGGGTTCTTATTGAGGAAGCCACCATGCGGCACCTACGGCCCTGGCGGTTTTTGAGACAGGTGGAGGACCCCAACGCCCAAACGCTAACTCCGACAATTGTAGACTGAACATCCCACACGATTATTCATCAATAAATACTTTCATGGTAATTATTCGGATGAGATCTTCGTTATGGTATACAGACTCTTCGAATTTAAGCGCGGCACTAGGATAGCGACGTGGTTTCAGAAATTTAAATCGATCTACCTAGATGTATCCGTAAATTCTATGCTGTTTCTTTTCTCGCACTTATTGGTTATGGAAAACCATTCCTGTTCCATGCTGTCCAACAAAGTTTATAATCTGCAAAAAATTTAAATGCAATATCAAGGCTATCTACTGTCCTCCAATTTCCACTACCTTTTATTCTCGCTCCTTAGCAATGTTGTTGTTTCTAACTTTTCCTTTGCGTCTCCTTTTTGACTTTTACTGCCTTGGGGCGAAATCGATTAAAAAAAAAAAAAAGAAAAAGACGTTGATTTGTTGATGGCCTTTAAAAAAAAATTGTCTATTTACTCAAATAAAGTAATTTTCTGCCCTGAAGGTAAAGACCTCGGCTTGGGAGTAAAAAAAAAGCAAGTAATTTATAAAAGGAAGCAAACAATGTTGACATTTTGAAAATCAAACAAGATAACTTTAATATTATAGCATACAGGATATGAAATTAACGACTACCAAAAAAATGTACGCGCTGTTTTAACTAAGACATTTTCGCTTAGCATTTTCAGCCCTGTAGGTGGCAACTATCTTAACATTTAGCCCATGTGGCTGGGTTTACATTAATCGCTTAAAGTTATTTGATCCATGCTTCAGGAATGAAAAATAGGTTAGTAGATATTGACTTCCTGAATGACCCAACGAGAGGTGGGAATTTCTTAAATAGGGTAATTGTGTCTGCTTCAGTCTACTAGCTTCTCTTAGGTTAGGTGGTAAAATAGAACTGCTTAGTATTTCAAGAAAACAGTATTCTATAAGTATAAAAGTAAGTGTAATGATTTAATATTTAGATTACAGTCTGGGGAGAGAAACAATGTTAGCATTTATTAATAGTCTATTTTGAAAAATCTAACAAATAATATCATTTCTGATATTAGTTTGGTTAGGGTTTATTTTGTTTTGACACATCAATCTCAATTGGTTATTTACCAACATAACTTTTTATTGCTGGTAATATTTTTTTCCAGAAAGTATTTTTGGTAATATTTTTTTCAAAGATGTATTGCTGGTAATATTTATTTAATGTATTGCTGGTAATATTTTTTTCAAAAATGTATTGCTGGTAATTTTTTTAAAATTTATTGCAGGTAATATTTTAAATGTATTGCTGGAAATATTTTTTTAAAAAATGTATTGTTGGTAATATTTAAAAAAAAAAATGTATTGCTGGTAATACTTTTTTTTCAGAAATGTATTGCTGGTAATATTTTTTTTTCAAAAATGTACTGCTGATAATATTTTAAAAAAATGTATTGCTGGTAATATTTATTTTTTAAAATGTATTCTAGGTAATATTTTTTTCCCAAATTTTATTGTTTGTAATAATCTTTTACAAAACATATTTAACAGTATTAAAACCTATGTTTATATTTCATAGTATTTTGATCTTAATTTGGGGATTAACTATTTGCTCATAGCTGGGACCTAACATGCTACCACCCTGGATCAGCTGGGACCCCTAACATGCTACCACCCTGGATCAGTGTGGACCTGGGAACACCAGTAATTAAGAGGTGGTTCCATGCTCCTTAAAAAACTTCCTGATCAGAGATCTTGTTGCTGGATGTAGTTTATCGTCTTACCCAGGATGATATTATAAACATTTATTTTTGCAATTAAGGAATTGTTTTAACCCGACATTATTTTCATTACTCTAAACGTTATATCTAATGTGTACTTATGTTTCCAGTTGACATAAATTGCTTAAAATTATTTCGTTTATGTTTCCGATACGAAATAAAATTGTTAGGTATATACTTTGAAATATCCTAACGAGGGAATGTGCATTTTTAAATAGGATAATTGGAAGCAAAGGGGCATCCAGTCGTACGCTGTTATCAATAACATAAGCACAGTTTATGAACTAGGGATCGATTTGGCACTTTATATATATCATAAACAACATTTTTGGATCCTGACAAAAACATGGTTGAGAAAGGTCGAAGGTCGTGGTTTGATGAAAGTCGAAGGTCGTGGTTTGGTGAAGGTCGAAGGTCATGATTTGAGGAAGGTCAGGATTTGAGAAAGGTCGAAGGTCGTGGTTTGAGGAAGGTCGAATGACGGGATTTGAGGAAGGTCAGAAGATGTTGACTTGAGGAAGGTCCAAAGTGGTGGTTTGAGGAAGATCGAACGTAGTGATTTAACGACGGTCGAAGGTCGTGGTTTGAGGAGGTCGAAGGTCGTGGTTTGAGGAAGGTTTGATTTGAGGAAGATCGAAGGTGGTGGTTTGAGGAAGGTCGGAGGTCGTGGTTTGAGGAAGGTCCAACGTAGTGATTTAACGACGGTCGAAGGTCGTGGTTTGAGGAAGGTTTCGATTTGAGGAAGATCGAAGGTGGTTGTTTGGAGGAAGGTCAGAGGTCGTGGTTTGACGAAGGTCAAACGTAGTGATTTAACGACGGTCGAAGGTCGTGGAATGAGGAAGGTCGGAGGTCGTGGTTTGAGGAAGGTCAGGTAGAGATTTAACGACGGTCGAAGGTCGTGGTTTGAGGAATGTCGAAGGTCAGGAGTTGAGGAAGATCGTAACTAGAGGAAAGCCGAAGATCGTAGTTTGAAGAGGTCGGAGGTCGTTGTTTGACGAAGGTGGAAGGTCGGTTTCATGGAGGTCGAAGGTCGGTTTGAGGAAGGAAGATCAGGGATTTGAGAAGGTCGAAGGTCAGGATTTGAGAAAGTTTTTATTTGAGGAAAGCCAAAGATCGTAGTTTGAAGAAGCTCGAGGTCGTGGTTTGAGGAAGGTGGAAGGTGGTGATTGAGGAAGGTCAAGGTCGTGGTTTTGTGGAATGTCGAAAGTCGGGATTTGAGGAAGGTCGAAGTTAGTGATTTAACGAGGGTCGAAGGTCAGGATTGAGGAAGCTCGTAATTTGAGGGGAAGGGCCGAAGATCGTGGTTTGAGAAAGGTCAGGTAATGGTTTGAGGAAGGTTGAACGAATGCTAATTTACAAAAATATTTTCAAACCTTCCCATTTCTCATAAACGTGTCAGTAAATTTAAGTAGTACCAATGATTTTACTAGACTTATTCTATGAGCCGTGTCCTTCAGGACGTTGGTTCTCCACAATTCTTTTGTCCTTTTGTGGCGCTTACTATGTTTTTGTTATTTCTCCTAAACCTTGTTTCGTCATCTATTCAGTCGGCTCGCCAGTTAGCTATGCGTTGCTTTTTCTAACCCCTCTTGACTTCAATATATACTTTGAGTATCAAATTCTTTGAGCCCACTTTCCTCATTATGTGCCCTAGAAATTTCAACTGTCTCTTCTTAATGTTGAGTTATAACTGCGTTGATCTTACTATAGAAATATGGAATATTGCCGTCATATATAGGTCTGGTTCTCCCGCTCTACGTCTCGACAAAATCCAGAGATGAATGCTGGAAGATGATAGGTCCGGATCTGGCATCTAGTCTACAATCCTTATCCCAAAGACGTGCTGTGGCCTCCTTCTGTCTCTGCTAAGTATTTTCATGGCAACCTTTCCGGCGAGCTAAATTCGCTGGTTCTCCGGACTGCATGAATTTAAGCGAGCTACCAGGCTTTTAGTATCACGGTCCGCGCCCTTTCCAATGTCAAAACGGTTAAATGTAACCGTCTCTTCTACTCAAACAACTTCTTCTCCTTGCACTTCCATCTGTGGAACTCCCTTCCCCTTAATTTGCTTCCCGATGACTATAATCTTTCAAATATTCAATCGGTATCAGACACCCTTTGTTTCCCTGTCTTTCACTGTATCCTTTTCCCCCAAACATGTCGCTTTACTTTTGTTCTGGATCCTGTAAATCCTTGCGTGCTAGTGGCACTCCCCGCCTTGCTTGGGGTGAATTGGTTTAAAAAATGCATTGTGAAATATTTTTTTCATGTGGAAATGTGTTGAAAATTGGGAAGACTGTCATTTTCGTAGAAATTAATGCAAATGCGATTGATCGAATAGGGCTTTTTAATTACAATTGTTGATTATTTCTTTTTTTACTTAACTTACACGTTTCACATCAAACCCAAATACTGCGCAAAAAAATTCTGATAAGCTGAAGGTAGGTATTACTCTCTTTAAATTAAGCGTTTTAACAATTCTTACGAGAGGAAAAAAGATTATAAAACGAATCACTTTTTGAAAAAATATGTATATGTTGTATATTTTTAAAACAATCGCCGCATAAGATGAGAATTTTACAGCATATAATCTACACTCTGTTTGGATATTACCACGGCATCAGAACGTTATTACTTCGATCAGAGCCAATCCTCTATCATAATTACTATGTTCAATCAATAACGTTAGGGACAATTGCGATCCATTTTTCCATGGGTCGAGTCAATTTCAAGTGTTTCAAAGGATATTGAAAATCGATATCAAAAGATTGTATTCTAAAAATCAATCGCTGATACATAAAACTTAAGGTTTATCAACGACGCTACCTCTGTCTGAAAAAGAGCAGATGACTTCAAAGGTTAAGAGTTATCGATCTGCCAATATTTGAGTTTCATACGACATAGACAAAATGACAGTTTAATCGAAACCACATAACACATATTTCATGCGAAAGTGGAGATCAATCAGACTTGAAAGAGATTTGGTTTTGTCTGGAACTCTCAGATGAACCATTGCCATTATTCTAGGAAATTTTAGGACTAGTATCCTTATCTTAGTTGTTTTTTGGTCACAAGAGCGGATCCACTAGGGTGTCCACTGTTCAGTGGGTTCGGACTCATTGTATTCATGAAGTGCAATTTAAAAAAACAAAATTGTTAATTTAAAAAAAGATCAAAATATAAGTAAGGTGTTTTTGTCTGAACTTCTGTGATACGAATTATCAGAACAAGAGTAAATCGGCATGTTTGGGGGAAAGGATACAGAGATGCAAGGGGAACAACCTCAGGGTGTCCAGATATCGATTGACATTACAATTTGAATATTTTGGAAGATTATAGTCATCAGGGAAGCAAACTAAGTGGAAGGGGAGTTCCAGACAGGAAGTGCAGGAGATGAAGTTGTTTGAGTAGAAGAGACGGTTACATTTAACCGTTTTGATATTGAAAGATTGGGACCGAAATGCCAAACTGGTAACTCGCCTAAATTCGTACGGTCCGGGAACCAGCGAAAGTAGCTCGCCGGAACAGTTGCCGTGAAAATACTGCATGATTTAATTCTGGCTATTATCCCAATTTTTGTTGTTACATCACAACGTTTCGACTGCTGTGATCTCCGGCCTTTCCAGTGCTTATCGATCCGGTGACCACCATAGAATCTCGTACTGTAAACTTTATTTAATGTACGAGGGTAGAATGTTAATTTTGTAGATTAAATAAAGGATGCATATCGACATGCAGCTAAAGAACGCCGGAATGCACAGTTGCCGAAATGTTGTAATAGTAACAACAACAAAGATGTGGACAATAATGCCATAATGTAAATAACATAAATAAGATACTTTCAATTTTTAGTCTTTATCCTGTTTTTATTCATTGTTTTAATATATTTTCTTGGAGGACTTTTTTTTTCCTTCACCCTTTTGAGAATTCTAGCGCCTATGACACCTGTTTCACATGTCCTCCTTACCGGACGAGAGACAGTCTGTGCCATAAAGAACTTTTTAGAACGTCTAGATAACAATGACATATTTGGGAATGATATTAGAATAATCCAGAAGGTTATACTGGTAGCAAACAGATTTGCTGATGGAATATGATTTCTGGTAAATAGACTAAACTAGAAAGGTGTAAGACAAGACAAGCGTCTTCTCGCCGGATCATTCAAAGGATTGAGTGAGGCGATTCTGAGAGAATTCATTATTTGTAGCGATAATCCCGTAAAATCATAATATATGCAGATGACGAAGGTTGAGCAGACACAGAAAGGAGAATATAAGTACTTTTTTTACGGAACGTAGTGAAAGAAAGGAAGAACGGACTAAATATTAATTTCAAGATGACAGAATACAGTGTTGGCATCCAAAAAAACAGTCCGTCATGCAAATTATAAAATCAAATACAACAATTAAAAAGAAGTGTTTTAACAAGGTTAGAATTTCGTCATAAGTTTATCTAAATATTTGGATTTAAAAAGAAAACCGATGCTGTACGAGACTAAATGGGCGGATTCAAAGCTGTGGTCAGTTTTTGAGCACATCAGTCTTTCAGATAAGTGTTCTAATAAAATAATCTTTTAACTTAATGCGAATAGAAATGAGTTAAGCGGAACCCACAAAAGAAAAAGAAAGAAGAATACCGCTTCTCGGCTATGTTTTCTCGTCGGGTTTATTTTAATCTGTACAGTGAGACGGTTCTAGAAAGATTTGAAGGCCTATCATGACTTATTTTTTCGAAGATGTAAACAACAACGCCTGCAACACAGCACAGTGCTGATAACAGATTAAAAAAATTGAAATAACAATTAGATGAAGTAGTCGAGGATAAATAAAATAAGGACAATCAACTGTAAGGGGACAATTTATGGTTGTTAGCAAAGAGACAACCTGGAAGGTGGGAGTTAATTTCTGGGGACGTCAATAACAAATCAAATGCGGAAATTTAAGTATCTGGTTAATATAGTAACAGTTGATGAAAAATGTGACAGAAATCTGAAGGCGCAGAGCAATACTGAGCATGGTTTAGAATCTAAGCAAGGAATTAAGACATCGGAAATGTCCTTACAAAGAATATTACTGAACTATTATCTTATATCCATCTTCCCTATATGGCAATTCATGTTGGATAATTTCCCACTGACAAAGAAAGATGGAGCAATAAAAATGAGGTTTACCGATTAATTTTGAGATTTCTGTGAAGAGATTGATTAACTGATCTGTTTTTTTTATGGCTTGTCAACCCCTTCTGAAGGTTATTTAAAACCAAGAAATATTTTTAAACTGTTACAATTTTTTTTTGAAGATAATACGATTTACTTATACAAGTCCTAATAATTAAACCCATAGCTGGAGGGAGAACAGGTGGATTCATATCATTCCTGAATATTTGCACGTAAGTGAATTTAATGAACCCGACTGAATTGAAAACTCGGCTTTCCGATTTCTAATTACCAAACGTTATCCATTACACCACCCACACATCCAAGCTACAGTACCTGGTATTAACAAACGCTCTGCCGTCTAAGCACTGACCAGGCTCAACGTTGCTTAACTCGGTAATCGTGCAGGCATATGATGGTGTTTCAACGTCATATGGTCGTAAGTCCTCTATGAACAGAATATGAGGGAAATGAGACTGTTCTAAAGAGAATAAGAAGAAGAAGAGCGAGGTAAAATTTAGCGGACATATAAGATGGATTGAGAATTGAACACTCATAAGGCCCATATATATATATATATATATATATATATATATATATATATATCGAGGGTATCAAATCTAAGGTAAGAAACTGATAAATTAAAAAATATTTTCAGACTGAACTCAATACTAAATTTACCCACTAGAGAAAATCTTAGACAGCTAAATAGAATGAGATATAATCACGATTTTTAGATAGATAGACAGACATACGGATAGATAGATAGACATATTGGATAGATAGATAGATAGATAGATAGATAGATAGATAGATATATAGATAGATAGATCTAAGGCAAAACATAAATGAACAAAATCAAATATTTTCAAACTAAAGATGGAGAACAGATTTACCCAATACACACACACACACACACACATATATATATAATAAATTAAATGTAATGTCAATCGACATCTTCTGATAGCCTGATCTCTATTCTTTTTTTATCCTTTCCTCAACCCCCCACTAAACCCAGCCTTATCCCTTGCATTCCTAGGGCCTCCCGCCTTGCTTTGGGATGAAATGCTATATATATATATATATATATATATATATATATATATATATATATATATATATATATATATATATATATCGAAGGAAGAGACAACGTAAGAATATTTACACGTCATGTTCATAAAATGAGATAGATAGATAGACAGATAGATATTATAAGACCAGCAAAGAAAATATAGTTAACAATAAGAAGACCCAGGAAAATTTAGGGACAGATAAGATGGATTGGAGATTTAACACTCATAAGGCCCATTGAGTGCAAATGAAAGTATGGGAAATATTGAGGGACCTACTTATCACGTTTGAATAGACAGCTACCAAAAAGACACGAGGGTCGTAACAGAGTAATATTTACTTAGAACAATCAAAACAGGAGGTTGTGGGAGATCCATGATCGCCTGCAGTATAACACACACAATAATAGGTGGGGGGAAAATGATATTAATTTGAACTGGTGAAAAATACCATTATTGTAGACAGATCTCTCTGTTTATTATATCCATATAATTATCTCGGCTTAATAACCAATATTCTAATTGGTTTATCAAAGAATCAAAGGAGAAATTCTTGCATTTTGAACCCAAAAGGACCTGAACACTTTCAAGAAGCCCACTATTGCCATCACTAAAGATGACTGCTAGTGCTAGGAGCAGGGTGTTAATTTATCATTTCATGTATTAGATTGGAGGCTGACATATTAATACTCTTGATTTAGCTGAAAGTGAAAATAAAATATTAACATTTTGTGTATGCCACGTAAGAGGTCGTCTTCGATTTACGACCCACTAAAGCAGTGTCTTTATACATACATATAAAGGTATACTTATCCTTATATGTATATATAAAGCTCAATGATTGTGGGCGTGTGCATGCTCTGAAAACACTGAAAAAGAATTTCACATATACATTTAGTTGTTTTGAAGACCTCAAAGACTTTATTGCTGATCATAAAATGCAAAACACTTAAGACGGAGATGAAATCACGTGGACATCCCAATCATAATGTCACAAAAAAATAATGCGTTTTTCCAACGATAGAGTCTAAGACACACACACACACACACACACACACACACACACACACACACACACACATATATATATATATATATATATATATATATGTATGTGTGTGTGTATCTGTCTATATTTCTGAGATGAGGTCCTCGAGGACACATGGCACAGTGGATAAAGGCGTTGGTTAGATCCAGTGACAGGACTCAAAGAGTGTGAGTTCAATACCCGGCTAAGGCAGTGGAGAACTTTCAGAGGGAAATTAACAGGAGATAACTGATAACTGACATCCATTAAACATGGCACGTGGAGTTAGAACAGTCTACCCCAGTGAGCTAAATAAAGGGTTAAGTTCGACATTCCAACTAACTGAAGAAGGCCGGAGCGTACAACGGCCGAAACGTTGTAATAACTATGGCGACAAAGATGAGGACAATAGTCCAAATAATGTAAATAATGTGTGTGTGTTTGCGTAAAAATCATGTAATACTTTGATATTAAATAAATTTGATTTAATTATGTAATCTTACAAGCGTGTGTCATATACATTGCCCAGCCTTTTTGCTTCATGAAGATAAATAATTGACACATTCAGCTTTAAAAATCAAGCTTTTTTAAAAACAAATGCTTTCTTATTAATTTCTAATCTATTTTTTGCTATATTTATAAATAAGTCCTCGGTCAGCTGTCAAGAAGGTTGGTTCATTGTATCGTGCTAAACGGTTTTTCTCTGCAAAGTGTATCTTACATATCTATAAGTCTGCCATACGTCCATGTTTAGATGTACCTTCTCTCTATCTATAGCACCTTTATAAAATCCAAAAAATCAGCAATATTACTGGTAACGATCCGGCGTCTCAGTTTCAGAGACTTGCCCACCGCCATAAGGCCGCCTCCCTGTGCCTTTTCTATAAATACTTTCATGGTAATTGTTCGGATGAGCTCTTCGCTATGGTGCATAGACTCTTCGAATTTAAGCGCAGTACTAGAAGGGCGATGTGGTTCCGCAGATATAACGAATTCAACAGGAATTGAAACTCTGCTCTCCAATGAACAATTCCGAATCATTATTCATAACACCACCCGCACATCCAAGCTTATAGCACCTGGTATTCCCAAGCGGTTACCCAACTAAGAACTAAGCAGAGAGAGTCATAAAATAAATGGCTATAAAGAATTGTTGATCACCATAAAGAATATGAAGCTGAAGAAAGCTGTATGGCCATGTAACCAGATGGCGAGCTCTCTCTCTATGTCTCTCCAAGACCATCTTACAAGGAACGGTACAAGGAACAAAGAGAATAAGATACCAAAGAAGGTCGGATAACGGAATCGAATCGACCGGCAAAAGTTATGTCCACATCCAGACACTTGCTAACGACCAAATAAAGGGTTCTTATTGAGGAAGCCACCATGCGGCACCCCCTACGGCCCTGGCGGTTTGTGAGACAGGTGGAGGAGGACCCCAACGCCCAAACGCTAACTCCGACAATTGTAGACTGAACATCCCACACGATTATTCATCAATAAATACTTTCATGGTAATTATTCGGATGAGATCTTCGTTATGGTACATAGACTCTTCGAATTTAAGCGCGGCACTAGGATAGCGACGTGGTTTCAGAAATTTAAAATCGATCTACCTAGATGTATCCGTAAATTCTATGCTGTTTCTTTTCTCGCACTTATTGGTTATGGAAAACCATTCCTGTTCCATGCTGTCCAACAAAGTTTATAATCTGCAAAAATTTAAATGCAATATCAAGCGCTATCTACTGTCCTCCAATTTCCACTACCTTTATTCTCGCTCCTTAGCAATGTTGCTGTTTCTAACTTTTCCCTTGCGTCTCCTTGACTTTACTGCCTTGCTTGGGGCGAAATCGATTAAAAAAAAGAAAAGACGTTGATTTGTTGATGGCCTTTAAAATGAAATTGTCTATTTACTCAAATAAAGTAATTTTCTGCCCTGAAGGTAAAGACCTCAGCTTGGGAGTAAAAAGAAGCAAGTAATTTATAAAAGGAAGCAAACAATGTTGACATTTTGAAAATCAAACAAAGATAACTTTTAATATTATAGCATACAGGATATGAAATTAACGACTACCAAAATGCTTAAATCTCCCGCGCTGCTTTAACTAAGACATTTTCGCTAATAGCATTTTTCATTCAGCCCTGTAGGTGGCAACTATCTTAGCATTTAGCCCACAGGCTGGGTTTACATTAATCGCTTAAAGTTATTTGATCCATGCTTCGGGAATGAAAATAAGGTTAGTAGATATTGACTTCTGAATGACCCAACGAGAGGTGTGAATTTCTTAAATAGGGTAATTGTGTCTTGCTTCAGTCTACTAGCTTCTCTTAGGTTAGTGGTAAAATAGAACTGCTTAGTATTTCAAGAAAACAGTATTCTGTAAGTATAAGTAAGTGGTAATGATCTTAATATTTAGATTACAGTCTGGGAGAGGAAACAATGTTAGCATTTATTAATAGTCTATTTTGAAAATCTAACAAATAATATCATTTCTGATATTAGTTTGGTTAGGTTTATTTTGTTTTACGACACATCAATCTCAATTGGTTATTTAATACCAACATAACTTTTATTGCTGGTAATATTTTTTTCCAGAAAGTATTTTTGGTAATATTTTTTTCAAAGATGTATTGCTGGTAATATTTATTTTAATGTATTGCTGGTAATATTTTTTTTTCAAAAATGTATTGCTGGTAATATTTTTTTTTAAATTTATTGCTGGTAATATTTTTTTAAATGTATTGCTGGAAATATTTTTTTTTAAAAAAATGTATTGCTGGTAATATTTAAAAAAAATGTATTGCTGGTAATACTTTTTTCAGAAATGTATTGCTGGTAATATTTTTTTTCAAAAATGTACTGCTGATAATATTTTAAAAAAAATGTATTGCTGGTAATATTTTATTTTTAAGAAATGTATTCTGGTAATATTTTTTTCCAAATTTTATTGTTTGTAATAATCTTTTACAAAAATATATTGCTGGTATTAAAACCTATGTTTATACTTTCATAGTATTTTGATCTTAATTTGGGGATTAACTATTTGCTCATAGCTGGGACCCTAACATGTGCTACCACCCTGGATCAGCTGGGACCCTAACATGTGCTACCACCCTGGATCAGTGTGGACCTGGGAACACCAGTAATTAAGAGGTGGTTCCACGCTCCTTAAAACTTCCTGATCAGAGATCTTGCTGCTGGATGTAGTTTATCGTCTTACCCAGGACGGTCTGATATTATAAACATTTATTTTAGCAATTAAGGAATTGTTTTAACCCGACATTATTTCTCATTACTCTAAACGTTATATCTAATGTGTACTTATGTTTCAGTTGACATAAATTGCTTAAAATTATTTCGTTTATGTTTCCGATACGAAAATAAAATTGTTAGGTATATACTTTGAAATATCCTAACGAGGGAATGTGCATTTCTTAAATAGGATAATTGAAGCAAAGGGCATCAGTCGTACGCTGTTATCAATAACATAAGCACAGTTTATGAATCCAGGGATCGATTTGGCACTTTATATATATCATAAACAACATTTTTGGATCCTGACAAAAAAACATGATTTGAGAAAGGTCGAAGGTCGTGGTTTGATGAAAGTCGAAGGTCGTGGTTTGAGGAAGGTCGAAGGTCATGATTTGAGGAAGGTCGGGATTTGAGAAAGGTCGAAGGTCGTGGTTTGAGGAAGGTCGAATGACGGGATTTGAGGAAGGTCGAAGATGGTGACTTGAGGAAGGTCCAAAGTGGTGGTTTGAGGAAGATCGAACGTAGTGATTTAACGACGGTCGAAGGTCGTGGTTTGAGGAGTGTCGAAGGTCGTGGTTTGAGGAAGGTTTTGATTTGAGGAAGATCGAAGGTGGTGGTTTGAGGAAGGTCGGAGGTCGTGGTTTGAGGAAGGTCCAACGTAGTGATTTAACGACGGTCGAAGGTCGTGGTTTGAGGAAGGTTTTGATTTGAGGAAGATCGAAGGTGGTTGTTTTGAGGAAGGTCAGAGGTCGTGGTTTGACGAAGGTCAAACGTAGTGATTTAACGACGGTCGAAGGTCGTGGAATGAGGAAGGTCGGAGGTCGTGGTTTGAGGAAGGTCGAAGGTAGAGATTTAACGACGGTCGAAGGTCGTGGTTTGAGGAATGTCGAAGGTCGGGAGTTGAGGAAGATCGTAACTAGAGGAAAGCCGAAGATCGTAGTTTGAAGAAGGTCGGAGGTCGTTGTTTGACGAAGGTGGAAGGTCGTGGTTTCATGGAGGTCGAAGGTCGTGGTTTGAGGAAGGTTGAAGATCGGGATTTGAGAAAGGTCGAAGGTCGGGATTTGAGGAAGTTTTTATTTGAGGAAAGCCAAAGATCGTAGTTTGAAGAAGCTCGGAGGTCGTGGTTTGAGGAAGGTGGAAGGTGGTGATTTGAGGAAGGTCGAAGGTCGTGGTTTGTGGAATGTCGAAAGTCGGGATTTGAGGAAGGTCGAAGTTAGTGATTTAACGAGGGTCGAAGGTCGGGATTTGAGGAAGCTCGTAATTTGAGGAAGGCCGAAGATCGTGGTTTGAGAAAGGTCGAAGGTCGTGGTTTGAGGAAGGTTGAACGAATGCTAATTTACAAAAATATTTTCAAAAACCTTCCCATTTCTCATAAGCGTGTCAGTAAATTTAAGTAGTACCAATGATTTTACTAGACTTATTCTATGAGCCGTGTCCCTTCAGGACGTTGGCTCTCCACAATTTCTTGTCCTTTGTGGCGCTTACTATGTTTTTTGTTATTTCTCCTAAACCTTGTTTCGCCATCTATTCAGTCAAGCTCGCCAGTTAGCTTATGCGTTGCTTTCTTCTAACCCTCTTGACTTCAATATATACTTTGAGTATCAAATTCTTTGAGCCCACTTTCCTCATTATGTGCCCTAGAAATTTCAACTGTCTCTTCTTAATGTTAGTTATAACTGCGTTGATCTTACTATAGAAATATGGAATATTGCCGTCATATATGGTCTGGTTCTCCCGCTCTACGTCTCGACAAAATCCAGAGATGAATATGGAAGATGATAGGTCCGGATCTGGCATCTAGTCTACAATCGCTATCCCAAAGACGTGCTGTGGCCTCCTTCTGTCTCTGCTACAAGTATTTTCATGGCAACCTTTCCGGCGAGCTAAATTCGCTGGTTCTCGGACTGCATGAATTTAAGCGAGCTACCAGGCAGGTATCACGGTCCCGCCCTTTCAATGTCAAAACGGTTAAATGTAACCGTCTCTTCTACTCAAACAGCTTCTTCTCATGCACTTCCCATCTGTGGAACTCCCTTCCCCTTAGTTGCTTCCCCGATGACTATAATCTTCAAATATTCAATCGGTATCAGACACCCTTTGTTCCCTGTCTTTCACTGTATCCTTTCCCCAAACATGTCGCTTTACTTTTGTTCTGGATCCCCTGTAAATCCTTGCGTGCTAGTGGCACTCCCGCCTTGCTTGGGGTGAATTGGTTTAAAAAATGCATTGTGAAATATTTTTTCATGGAAATGTGTTGAAAATTGGGAAGACTGTCATTCATTAGAAATTAATGCAAATGCGATTGATCGAATAGGGCTTTTATGCTTACAATTGTTGATTATTTCTTTTATAACTTAAATACGTTTCACATCAAACCCAAATACTGCGCAAAAATTTCTGATAAGCTGAAGGTAGGTATTACTCTTTAAAATTAAGCGTTTTAACAATTCTTACGAGAGGAAAAGATTATAAAACGAATCACTTTTGAAAAATATGTATATGTTGTATATTTTTAAAAACAATCGCCGCATAAGATGAGAATTTTTACAGCATATAATCTACACTCTATTTGATATTACCACGGCATCAGAACGTTATTACTTCGATCAGAGCCAATCCTCTATCATAATTACTATGTTCAATCAATAACGTTAGGGACAATTGCGATCCATTTTTCCATGGGTCGAGTCAATTTCAAGTGTTTCAAAGGATATTGAAAATCGATATCAAAGATTGTATTCTAAAAAATCAATCGCTGATACATAAAACTTAAGGTTTATCAACGACGCTACCTCTGTCTGAAAGAGCAGATGACTTCAAAGGTTAAGAGTTATCGATCTGCCAATATTTGAGTTTCATACGACATAGACAAAATGACAGTTTAATCGAAACCACATAACATAATTTCATGCGAAAGTGGAGATCAATCGCCAGACTTGAAGAGATTTAAGTTTTGTCTGGAACTCTCAGATGAACCATTGCCATTATTCTAGGAAATTTTAGGACTAGTATCCTTATCTTAGTTGTTTTGGTCACAAGAGCGGATCCACTAGGTGTCCACTGTTCAGTGGGTTCGGACTCATTGTATTCGCGAAGCGCAATTTAAAAACAAAATTGTTAATTTAAAAAAAAAGATCAAAATATAAGTAAGGTGTTTTTGTCTGAACTTCTGTGATACGGAATTATCAGAACAAGAGTAAATCGGCATGTTTGGGGAAAGGATACAGAGATGTACGGGGAACAACCTCGGGGTGTCAGATATCGATTGACATTACACTTGAATATTTGAAGATTATAGTCATCGGGGAAGCAACTAAGTGGAAGGGAGTTCCACAGACGGGAAGTGCAGGAGATGAAGTTGTTTGAGTAGAAGAGACGGTTACATTTAACCGTTTTGATATTGAAAGAGTGGGACCGAAATGCCAAACTGGTAGCTCGCCTAAATTCATGCAGTCCGGGAACCAGCGAAAGTAGCTCGCCGGAACAGTTGCCGTGAAAATACTACATGATTTAATTCTGGCTATTATCCCAATTTTTGTTGTTGTTATCACAACGTTTCGACTGCTGTGATCTCCGGCCTTTTCCAGTGCTTATCGATCCGGGTGACCACCATAGAATTTCGTACTGTAAACTTTATTTAATGTACGAGGGTAGAATGTTAATTTTTGTAGATTAAATAAAGGATGCATATCGACATGCAGCTAAAGAACGCCGGAATGTACAGTTGCCGAAATGTTGTAATAGTAACAACAACAAAGATGTGGACAATAGCCATAATGTAAATAACATAAATAAGATACTTTCAATTTTTAGTCTTTATCCTGTTTTTTATTCATTGGTAGTTTAATATATTTCTTGGAGGACTTTTTTTCCTTCACCCTTTTGAGAATTCTAGCGCCTATGACACCTGTTTCACATGTCCCTCCTTACCGGACGAGACAGTCTATGCCATAAAGAACTTTTAGAACGTCTAGATAACAATGACATATTTGGGAATGATATTAGAATAATCCAGAGGTTATACTGGTAGCAAACAGATTGCATACCGATGGAATATGATTTCGGTAAATAGACTAAACTAGAAAGGGGTGTAAGACAAGGATGCGTCTTCTCGCCGGACTTATTCAAAGGATTGAGTGAGGCGATTCTGAGAGAATTCATTATTTGTAGCGATAATCGTAAAATCATAATATATGCAGATGACGAAGGTTGAGAGCAGACACAGAAAGGAGAATATAAGTACTTTTACGGAACGTAGTGAAAGAAAGCGGGAAGAACGGACTAAATATTAATTTCAAGATGACAGAATACAGTGTTGGCATCAAAAAGAACAGTCCGTCATGCAAATTACAAAAATCAAATACAACAATTAAAAAGAAGTGTTTTAACAAGGTTAGAATTTCGTCATAAGTTTATCTAAATATTTGGTTAAAAAGAAAACCGATGCTGTACGAGACTAAATGGAGTACGTTGATTCAGAAGCTGTAGTCAGTTTTTTGAGCACATCAGGTCTTTCAGATAAGTGTGTTCTAATAAATAATCTTTAACTTAATGCGAATAGAAATGAGTTAAGTGAACCCACAAAGAAAGAAAGAAGAATACCGCTTCTCGGCTATGTTTTCTCGTCGGGTTTATTTTAATCTGTACAGTGAGACGGTTCTAGAAAGATTAGAAGGCCTATCATGACTTATTTTTCGAAGATGTAAACTTAACAACGCCTGCAACACAGCACAGTGCTGATAACAGATTAAAAAAGAAATGAGAAATAATTATTAGATGAAGTAGTCGAGGATAAATAAAAATAAAGGACAATCAACTGTAAGGGGACAATTTATGGTTGTTAGCAAAAGAGACAACCCAAGGTGGGAGTTAATTTCTGGGGACGTCAATAACAATCAAATGCGGAAATTTAAGTATCTGGTTAATATAGTAACAGTTGATGAAAAATGTGACAGAAATCTGAAGGCGCAGAGCAATACTGAAAGATGGTTTTTAGAATCTAAGCAAGGAATTAAGACATCGGAAATGTCCTTACAAAGAATATTACTGAACTACTATCTTATATCCATCTTCCTATATGGCAATTCATGTTGGATAATTTCCACCCCGACAAAGAAAGATGGAGCAATAAAAATGAGGTTTTACCGATTAATTTTGAGATTTCTGTGAAGAGATTGATTAACCGATCTGTTTTTTTATGGCTTGTCAACCTTCTGAAGGTTATTTAAAACCAAGAAATATTTTTAAACTGTTACAATTTTTTTGAAGATAATAATGATTTACTTATACAAGTCCTAATAATTAACCCATAGCTGGAGGGAGAACAGGTGGATTCATATCATTCCTGAGAATATTTGCACGTAAGTGAATTTAATGAACCCGACTGGAATTGAAACTCAGCTTTCCGATTTCTAATTACCAACCGTTATCCATTACACCACCCACACATCCAAGCTTACAGTACCTGATATTAACAAACGCTCACCCGTCTAGGCACTGACCAGGCTCAACGTTGCTTAACTTCGGTAATCGTACGAGCATATGATGGTGTTTCAACGTCATATGGTCGTAAGCTCCTCTATGAACAGAATATGAGGGAAATGAGACTGTTCTAAAGAGAATAAGACCAGAAGAAGAGCGAGGTAAAATTTAGCGGACATATAAGATGGATTGGAGAATTGAACACTCATAAGGCCCATATATATATATATATATATATATATATATATATATATATATATATATATCGAGGAGATCGAAATCTAAGGTAAGAAACTGATAAATTAAAAAAATATTTTCAGACTGAACTCAATACTAAATTTACCCACTAGAGAAAATCTTAGACAGCTAAATAGAATGAGATATAATCACGATTTTAGATAGATAGACAGACATACGGATAGATAGATAGACATACGGATAGATAGATAGATAGATAGATAGATAGATAGATAGATAGATCTAAGGCAAAAAACGATAAATGAACAAAATCAAATATTTTCAAACTAAAGATGGAGAACAGATTTACCCAATACACACGCGCGCACACACACACACACACACATATATATATAATAAATTAAATGTAATGTCAATCGACATCTTCTGATAGCCTGATCTCTATTCTTCTTTTTTATCCTTTCCTCAACCCCCCCACTAAACCCAGCCTTTTATCCCTTGCATTCTAGTGGCACTCCCGCCTTGCTTGGGATGAAATGCTTATCATATATATATATATATATATATATATATATATATATATATATATATATATATATATATATATATATCGGAAGGAAGAGACAACGTAAGAATATTTACACGTCATGTTCGCAAAATGAGATAGATAGATAGACAGATAGATATTATAAGACCAGCAAAGAAAATATAGTTAACAATAAGAAGACCCAGGAAAAATTTAGGGGACAGATAAGATGGATTGGAGAATTTAACACTCATAAGGCCCATTGAGTGCAAATGAAAGTATGGGAAATATTGAGGGACCTACTTATCACGTTTGAATAGGACAGCTACTACAAAGACAACGAGGGGTCGTAACAGAGTAATATTTACTTAGAACAATCAAAAACAGGAGGTTGTGGAGATCCATGATCGCCTACAGCATAACACACACACACATAGGTGGGGAAATGATATTAATTTGAACTGGTGAAAAGAGATACCATTATTGCTTAGACAGATCTCTCTGTTATTATATCCATATAATTATCTCGGTTTAATAACCAATATTCTAATTGGTTATCAAAGAATCAAAGGAGAAATTCTTGCATTTTGAACTCTTTTTTTTCGCGAAAGATCTTAATGCTGTAAGAGATTATAGTAAAATGTTTTCCAAAAATATAGCAAAGATGAAAGTCTGGATCAATGTAAACATGATAGATGCCTACTGCTGGATCCTACAATCGGAGACTAGTTCAGTGCATCGGCACATGAGCAAGTGTCCCAAACATTTCTGTAGATAATAGAGCGAAAATTAGTATTTTATATTGATTCAGTTATTTCCCTTGAGTATTAGTGTATTCGTTGCTAATCTACTATTTGCCTAGAACAAACATATAAAATTTATATTTCTAACATATCGTACATGCTGGCGTACAAGGTGACGACCACAAAATTTTCAAGTTAAAATATAGGTTTTGAGCTATATTTGCCGTACAAGAAGACCCCAATCAAATCGCATTCAATAAGCATGTAAATTATTTTCACTCAAATTCTAAGAAAAAAATGGTGAGATATTTTCAGGTAACTACCACAATCTATAATACCTCATAAGTAGATGCTGTGTTTTTGGTAAGCTATGACGGTAGCCTGAATGACTTTTCCCCGCTAACCATCCAATCGTTCCTCTGTTCTCAAGTGTTATGTTTAAGCGGCTTGTTGAGACACACATCCAATTTATTCCTTCAATTATTACTATAAATATCTTTTCCCCTGAACGTTCTGTCTGGTGAAGCGCTTTGAACGCACCTAAGGCTAGCGATTACTTGTTTACAGTGTGACGATGGTTTGGGATTTCTCATTTGACGAATGTACATTGTTATGCTCCAGAATGATGATTATATTTCATCATTCTAAAAATAAACTTGCCACAGTGATGATATAAAATAAAAAATTTCCTCATCCTAAAACAACCTTGCCACCAGTGATGAAAGATGAGGAAGATATGTCATCATTCTAAAATCTTATTATAAAAACGACTCTTCCATCAGAAAGCTAGGCACAGTTAGGGCAGTAGAGTCAATAGTGCAGACTAGAGTAATAAGTAGAGTAACTAGTAAAAAAAGAACACAACACACCGTATCACAATCGCTCCGGAAAATCGAAAGTTGACGATCTCAAACGCTATACTTAACAACTAAATTCTGGGAACGAGCAAAATCAATTAAGCACAGACTTTTAAAGAAACAAAAGAGACAGTAACACTGAGAACATTCTTAACACACACTATACCAATATCTGTAATTCACATCTCGAAAAAGAAAAATACACATTCTTGTTATTAATGTCAGTACGTGTCTCAAGTCGTATTGTTGTTAGCGTTGTTTGTTTTTATTCATTTCATTTTCAGTATAAAAAAGGTAAAATGATTCCTCTATCAACTACTGCTACGAATGCATATAACAACAGTGTAACTTACATTACACATACCTAACACCCTGAGCCCGTTACTGTGGTGACCCTCGTCTTTAGTGGGGAGAAATGACAATAAAAGAACAGGATTCGGGAAAACAAAATGGCGATTGTTGTTAAATTTAAATTTTTCGTTGGCAACAAACTAAAAGATAATTCCATAGGCGGGAAGTGTAGAAAATTATTATAACAGAGCATAAGGTTACATCTAGCTAGTTTCACCTGTTGCCAATCTAATACAGGTTGAGTGTCTTTTATCCAAAATTACCGAATCCGAAAACCTCCCAAAAAAGTTTTTCGTGTTGACATGACTTGCCAAAAATGGAAAATTTCAAAAAGCAACATGGCTACCTGTAACATGATCATTGCGTTGCAGCATTACAAAATACAATGCTGTTTTTATTACATTTACCTGTCATCAGAATCCTTGTTTTGTTTTAATACAAATACTGTGCCTCTATGTATCGTAGTATTTTAATCAAACAACGACATCGTTGATAGAGACTGAAAGCTTACCGAATTTTCCTTTTTACGCTCACAGTGATGTCATCGACGACGTACCCTCCCCCCAGTTTCTCGCACCTGATGTAGAAATGTTTGGTGTTGCATTTATATATTTTTGTAAGTAGTGATCATGTCTTTTGTACATGTATAGAAAGTAGGAAACATTTATTTTTTACCTGAAATCTTAATTTCACCACTTAAAAATCCATTTGAGCGTCACGTGACTAGCGTCATTATCTCTATTTGTATATACACAAAATTTATTAAATTGTATATAAGACTACTTTCAAGGGTAAATGTTATTTATATAAATCTATCTTTAGGGTATATGTATAAGCCGTGTTATGAAATGTAAAGGGATATCGTGTTTATGATTGGGTTCAATTCCTAGGCTGCCCCATTTTATAGATTATATACAGATTAACAGCCTGTATTCCAAAATTCGAAAAAAATCTAAAAACCGAAGGATTTCCGGTCCTAATATTTCGGATAAAGGATTCTTAACTTGAAGTACGATTAAATTCATGCAAGAAAAGCACCAAAGACGAAAGCTCATCAGAATAATTGCCGTGAAAATATATTATAGAAAAGACAGAGGGAAGCCACGTTCCTGGGGTGTAAAATTGACCGGTGTCGAGATGGTAGGTCAGGATCGATTACATTACAGACACTTCTTTCTTTTTCTATACGCCGTGTCCCTTCAGGTGGGCGATCAAAGCTCTCCACTATTTCCTGTTCTTTTCAGCACTTCATAAACTTTGTGTTTTTGATCTCTCCCCTAAACACTCTTCAGCAAACCCTTTATACAATCTTGTTAGGCAGGGGTTATGCACTGTTTTCCTCCATTCATCTCTCTTTCAATCTGTACTGTGAGTATCAAATTTTCTAAGCCTTCTTTCTTCATTATATACCCTAGAAGGTTCTTTCTGATATTAAATATATTTGTAATTTTTTATTTTCATTTTCTCTAAAACTTCGTCCTTGCTCACCTGTTCGCTCCATAGTATTCTCAGCATCCTTCTGTAGAACCACATTTCTGTTGCGTCAAATCTATTCTTCATCTTACATTTTAGTTATACTTGGATATTTTACTTTAAGACATCTTCCGTGATTCAAAGAAAATTACTAGTGTTAGATTTAAATGTAACAACACGAAGTTGTTGCCCGGATGTATAAACAGCCTTTAATAAATGTTAGTAATAAATATGAGAAACACTATTTACATTGTTCGGACTATCGTCCTCATCTTTGTTGCCATATTTATCACAACGTTTAGGCCGTTATACGATCCGGCCTTCTTCAGGTGGTTGGAATTTCGAACTGAACCCTTTATTTCGCTCGCTGGGGTAGACTGTTCTAGTTCCACATTCCATGTCTAATAGATGTCAGTTATCAGTTGCCTCCTGTTAATTCCCCTCTCCAAGTTCTCCACCGCCTTAACCAGGTATTGAACTCACACTCTTTGGGTCCTGTCACTGGATTTAACTAACGCCTTTATCCACTGTGTTATGTGTCCTTGAGGATTCAGTTCGACATTCCAACCACCTGAAGAAGGACGGAGCGTACAACGGCCGAAACGTTGTGATAAATATGGCAACAAAAATGAGGACGATAGTCCGAACAATGTAAATAGTGTACATAATACCTTATCTCAGAAATATAGACAGATACTCAAGGGCCGAAACGTTGTAATAAACATGGCGACAAAGATGAGGACAATAGTCCGAATAATGTAAATAGTGTACATAATACCTCATCTCAGAAATATAGACAGATACTGAAGGGCCGAAACGTTATAATAAATATGGCGACAAAGATGAGGACAATAATCCAAATAATGTAAATAGTGTACATAATACCTTATCTCAGAAATATAGACAGATACTGAAAGGTCGAAACGTTGTAATAAATATGGCGACAAAGATGAGGACAATAGTTCGAATAATGTAAATAGTGTACATAATACCTCATCTCAGAAATATAGACAAACCATAAAAAACATTCACAAATATAACAATTCTTACCGGACATCGCATTTGCATTGTTTGCTTTTCTAGGTCTGATCCGTATTGGCCGATGGTTTTTGTTGATTTTCATATCGTTTTATTTGCCTTTTGATTCAGGTTTGCGACCCAATAGAAACTTTTGAGTTGTAGCATCCGATAATATACGTTCGTTAAAATCGATCGTTTATTCGAACATTTTATTCAACTTAGAAAATTCCAAGTCTACAGAACAACGCCCACTGGAAAGATGGAAATGCTTCGGAAATAAAACGATCCTGAAAAAAAAAAATAAATAAATAAAGAGGCGCGTCGATTTTCCGTGCGATGGGCATATATATTTAAAACTGTTTCTCACGCGCACGCGCACACACAACCACACTCCCGAACATGCAAGAACTCGTTAGCTTGTTCTTGTTCCGTGTCACAAAAGTACCCGCTATACATAGGATATTGTTATATTAAATCCTGCTAAGTTTTGTTACTGCTTGGGTAGGTAAGGTAGTTATGGGAGAGTTGTTCGCTGTGAGTCTGAACAGCGTGGACATTGAAGTCAGGGATCAAAGTTCGATATTCCGGCTGAGGCAGTTTGTGTTCAATTTGCGTTGATACCTTTGCAAAAGTCAGGAATCCATATATTTTCTTTCAGCTTTTGTGTTAAATAACAAGTCAGATTGAACTCTTTAACCATAGTCAGGGAGAATGATAAACCTTCATTCAAAACAGTGAAACAAGTACATGAAGCAACAGCATTATTTTAAAATGAACAATTATGACAATGAACAATTTTTTAAAGAGTTTTTTCTAATTATGGAGATAATGTCCCTCCACAGCTTCTTTTTGTTTATTATTTTTAAATTGGTATGACATCTTGAGAAAGATAGTGAAGTGGTTTCCCGTTGCCTTCTTCAAGGTTTGGAATTCAAAGCTAGAGAGTCCAGTCTACCCTACAATTTAACTCATGCCTACGAGGTGTAAGGGAAGAGAGATTCTTGCCTTTTCAAATGGCATTTGCGCAAAAGTGAACGAACAGACAAGGCCGTAATTTGAACTCGTCTCGTCGATCCCACTTTCTGTACTGATAATTACATATTTATACACATATGATAAAGAAAGGAAGTTGTAGAGGACAATGATCGTACTGATCCTGAAGAGAGAATGCATTTAAGGAGAAGATTTACCCAATCACCGAGTTTCTTTTTCCGGAATTATTTTGACATAGTGGTGTTAAAGATATTTTTTGATGGCACAGGGAAAAATTGGAGTCATGCCTTTCGTAAAGATATTAGATGTTAGAGAATATAAGAGACCCCAGTCAAAATCGAAACCACTTTGCCAATATCATTTTCTGTTCTGGTAAACGTTGCTCCACCCCACCCCCCCGCCGAAATTAAAAATAGATAAAAACAAATGGATATAGAAATTTGTTTCATACGAAGACATGTGCAACAGATTTTCAGAAGGTGACCAAAGTAGTAAAGACAATGGTAATGATAATATTAGCTGTTTCCTTATAAGGAAACATTTAGCATTCATTGACCAAGTCACGAGTGCTATCGTCGATTGAAATTTATAAAGTACTAGCTGAATAACCCACGCTTTGCTGCTTGTCGCACTTTTTTTTTGTAATAAAATGATTGATTTTAAATCATATTTTGTGGAGAAAAATGATGCACTTCGGTATTACTCAATGACATTGCTGATGCGACCTCCATCTACTGGCTTTCTCCTTCTATAAATAGATAGCAGTCATTCCCTTGTTCAAATTTAAATTTAATTTAAGTCAAAGGGAAAAAATCAGTCGGTGGTTTGTGCAAAAACAGCTTGAGCAGATTTCAACATTGACATGACAGTTGAATTGTCACAACAAATATGTATTGTAAGGCACTACCCACTGATTGGTGATTTCTTGCTCAACTTGATATTGTCTCATTTCATTTTGATCTTGCCGATGTGACCTCCATTTTCTGGCTTTCTCCTTCTATATTTTGGCTAGCAGTCATTACCTTGTTCAAATTTAAATTTAATTCGTATAAAAGCGAGAAAAAATCAGGGGGTGGGTACTCCAACCCACGGACGCCCTTTGTTCAAAATGAAATATACTTATTCAAGTACCATAGGAGTTCAAATTTAAATCTCTTGTTCAAATTTAAATCTAATTTATATCAAAGGGAAAATAATTTCAGAGGTGGGTTTGTGTTATTCCCCTGGAACCCGTTTGATCAAAATGAGATATACTTATTCAAGTACCCTGGGTATTGTAGTTTCAGAATATATATGGTTATGCGGGTGGGGGGTGGGGTGTCTATCTCCAAAACCCTAGGAGGAGTTCGATAACAAACGAACAGACAGACAGAAGCTACAATTTTATATATATATATATATATATATATATATATATATTGGAAGTAATTTCTCAAGAAAATAGGTTTCTCAAGTCCAGTTACTGTTATTGCTCTTTCCTGTAGTGATGGGGGTTTCCTTTCTAACTTGTAGAACGTCAATATTTTCATTATTTCGAGATACATGTGCTGTTCCTTCTAGCTGTTGCTGTTGTTAAAGTTCTCAAATTGATGTGACTTCTGTTATTTGGTAAAGTTCTTTGTTTGAGATTGTGTAGCGCCAATTTACAAGGTTCGAAGAAGGAAGGACCTCTCTAAGACCTATATACTTCATTCAAAAGAAACGAAGGAAATCTGGTGGACATCTATGTGATGTCTGCTCAACCTATAATGAACTGAAAACTGTGTTGCAAAAAGAGTAAACTTCTACTACTTCTATGTACCGTGTCCCTTCAAGATAGTGGCAATCATGGCTCTCCACAATTTCCTGTTCTTTGCAGCTCTTCGTGAATTTTATCTTTTTGCTCTCTCTCCTAAACCCTGTTCTACCGTCTATATACAAATGCTCGTTAGCTAGATTATGCACTGTTTTCTCCGTCTGTCTTGCATTCAATATGTCTTGAGAGTGTTAAATTTTCCCCAGCCCTCTTTTCTCATTATGTGCTATAGAAACTTCAGCTGAATGTTTCTGATGTTAACTATAAGTGTTCTTTTTGTTTCCATTGTCTCTAGAACTTCGTCGTTATTCAGACCATGGTATTCTCGGCATCCTTCTGTAGAACCACATTTCTGTTGATTTTCAGTCTTGTTCATCTATGAGTAGATGGTTCAGCATTCACTGTCATATAGGTAACTGATATTATGTAACAACTCACTTCGCTTTTCATTGTTTCGATTTAAATTGTCCTGTTTCTTAATACTTTGCTTAGCTTTTGAATGGCATCTTTCGCTATCCCAATGCGCCTTCGGATTTTAGTGTCCCGGTTTCTAGTCTCTGTTAAAATATTTCATTTTGATTTTGGTATCTTCAATTTGTAATTTACCTGTTGAGATGTTCCTTTTGCAAACAACCCTGTATTCTGTCCTCTAGCAATTGATGTTTAACCCTTTCTTCCTGCTTTTTCCTTCACTGCCTACTGGTGGGAATTTTGATAGTTTACTTTCTGTGTCTGCTGTTAACACTGCGTCATCTGCATAATGGTAAGATTGTGGCTGCCAATAATGAATCGGAATTCTAACTCTCAGAATCATCTCACTGCAAAGGTTGAATAATTCCGGTAAGAAGACATCCTGATCTTACACACCTTTTTTTAAAATTTTTTTTTTATATCTACTGTTTTGATTTTCTATTCTTATACAGGTTGTTCGATTCTAGTATAGGTTCTGGATTATTCTAGTGTCCTTAAACAGCATAAAAAGGATAATGAAAATAGTAGAAATATTTTTTTAAAACAAAGCAATAACTTGAGAGTAAAAATGTATAACCCCGAAAGTGAATATATTTCGAAATTTGGAATTTGTTCTGCAGCGACCCAAACTTAATATGGCTCTTTTGAAACCGTATCACGACAGTGATGGATTGTCTAAATTTTGGTATAAGACTGAATTAAAACGCGCGAAAACAAGGAAAACGGTTGCAGTAATAGAGAAATCGTGAACTCTGATACTCGTTTGAGGCTTCTTCTCCCGTATTTTTGTACCTGTCGTTTCAACAGGGAATGTAGACCACGGTCTGATGAAGATTTGAGGCAACGATAACGTTACGTACGGAGAGAAGATAGTAATTGGCCAAAGTGCTGAGCTTCCCCCAAGAAACTACGCTTAGTACGTACCCGATGACTAATAAAGCGAGATAAATAAATAAAAACCTAAAGAAAATTGTCTCGTGGTGCAGCGTTGAGGTCCTTACTGAGAAACTGCTGACAGGCAAACTCGGTCCAGACAAAACATGCAACGCACCTAAATTTCGTCGCAAATGAAGAAAATATTTAAAATGAATGACATGTTGGTACTATCGACGAATATAGAGAAACACTGGATAGATTCTGTGTCAAATGAGAAAATTTTAATTGACTGATTCTTTTTCTACGGCTTATTAACCCTTTGCAGTTTATTTAAAGCCAGAAAAATACTTTTCGATTGCAAGAGTTTTTATGTAGATAATAATGATTTAGTAATAAAAGTGTTACTAATTAATCCATAACTGGGAGGAGAAGAGATGGATTCACACTTTTCCCAGGGATATTTATGCGTAAGTGAATATAACGAACCCAACGGGAATTGGAACTCGGCACTCCGATTAACAATTCCGAGCCACTAACCATCACATCACCCACGCATACACGCTTACAGTACTTTTATCCCCAGGCGGTTACGCATATAAGTACTGACCAGGCTTGACGTTGCTTAACCAGTGATCGTACAGGAACTGGTTTTTCGACGTGATATGGTCGTAAGCCAGAAGATTTTAAGATGAGGAGTTACAAAGAAATTACTGCTAGCACTGAGAAAGCGACAACTGAAATTGTGCAGGCACCCAATAAGGAAGAAAGGCTTTTAGAATGTAACACTCAGAGGGACCATTGAAGGCAAAAATTCATAGGAAATCAAAAACTACTTAAGTTTGAGCAAATAGAAGAGTAAGTGAGATGAAGGCGAAGATCGTAAATGTGCAAGAATTATTTAGTGCAAGAAGAG